ATTACTGTGCTGCATGCGATAAATAATACGCAGGAGTCGTATACTTGTACAATTAATAATAATATCATTGGCGTAAAAATCTAGTGAGCAAACATCACGGGCCTAAAACTGATGAGGGTCCTAACAAAAATACCACATCGTTTTTTCTATGTTAGATTAATACATATTGATATTTCGCAACAAAATAATATTATTTTGGTATTTGAAATAAATTTCAACTTTAAATAGTGAAGAGTTATAAATTGTTTATTTTTTAAAATTTAAAAGGCCTCAGGAAATTTTATGCTACGGGCACTAAAATCCTAGTTACGCCACTTAACAATACACATTTAAAAAGACGCTACACGGACAGTGAATCACCAACAAGTATGCTGTCGGCTGTCACTATCTTTTTCCATTAATAACGCATTTATTTATATTCTGACTTTCGGAATTTTCAAATAATATCTACTCATACTGTTATACGGTCGTAACTCGCATTATACAAACTATTCCTCGTTCAAATTTAAATTTATAAACATAAMAATTTCCGAACAAAAATCAACTACTAAATAATTCATAATAAAAAATTGTCGCATTTGATTATTAGAAAAACAAAAGTTTGTATCACCATTGGACACTCCTCGGCTCTCGGAAAGTGTAAATAAACTAAGTAATTGAAATATGATATCTTATATTATAGTATAATTCTCAAAGTCGGAATTTGATTAAAATATGCATTTTTATTGTAAAAAAATATGGTGAACATACTTGACGAACCACTCATCTGTATATCATGCAATTTTGTATACTATTATACTTTACAGCACGCGCACTCCACCTTTCTGCGAGGACCCAAAGAGTCTGTAACAATAATCAACCTCAACGTCACCTAGATCGTTATAATATCCATCGATTCCGAACGGCATAATGCGAGAACATATTTCCTAACCCTCAAACCAGTCTAACCACTCTCCAAAAGGGGACCTCTGAATAGTCTGAATGCGTCGTAATAAYTGTACACTTGCGGTGCGCAAGAGACTCAAGTCGTAAAAAACGAATTTGTTAGACCCATTCGGCCGGACAATATACATTATTATTGTTTCATATATATAAATATTTGCGTTTTTGGCGAATTTGGCGTATTGCGGACGACGACGATTTCGCAACGAGTCTTCGCGCCACAGAGTGCTGTCGGCCATCAACGTGTACGAAGGAAATACGAGACACCACGGCGGACGATYTTTATAAGCGGATTCAAGGAGAAAGAAACGAACATAACAATATATTTTTATATATGGTACGTTTACATACAATATGCAGTATACAAACCACGCGTACGCGAAGAGAGGGCAAAAAGTCACATAATATATTATAATCATAGGTATTATAATATATTATTGGTGTTGCTCAACAAGCTGCCACCTCCTAGGTCCTCGATAGTTTATATAACGCCGGCATGTGAGTCCGGCTGGTCACTGATATTATATTAGACGACCGCGTCGCGACGACGAAAGGATAATACCGATTATATATTATTATCCACGTTGCGAGGCGATATCGCARGACAGCGCCGGGCACGCAAAGGATCTGCACACATGACCATCGGTGTTATCGATTTCATCGTAAGGCGTTTTAGAAAACGTGAGTATGACGCCGTCGTACCTATTATTGCAGTGTTGAACTTACGACTCTATTTTTATTACATTAGATACTAATACATATCTGCAGCTGTTAGACCGTAGCGAAAGCGTTGTAATAATATAATTTATTTAGGGAATAATTG